CACATTCGCACATACACACTGACACGCACGCACGCACACACGCACGTACACACACAGATGCACACTCACATTCGCACATACACACTGACACGCACGCACGCACACACGCACGTACACACACAGATGCACACTCACATTCGCACATACACACTGACACGCACGCACGCACACACGCACGTACACACACAGATGCACACTCACATTCGCACATACACACTGACACGCACGCACGCACACACGCACACGTGCACACACACCAGGCGATGTTCACTTACATTGCAGACTTGGTTCGGCACAGTTCGGTGTTGTCCGGCGTCGGTTCAGGGGACGGGGTTCTCCTCAGCTCCACCTTCTCCTCCTCCTCGTCCTCGTACTCGTACGGATCCACAGCCTCCTGCTTGATGTGCACAGCGACGCTCTCCGCCGCCGGCTCCGGTGGCGCCACCTTCGCCGCCTCGCTGCTGGCGGCGCCCTCTGTCCGCTCGGGCGTCTGTTCGCGGTGCGCGAACAGCGCGCGCGCGTCAAACACGTGCGGCGGACTGAACGCCGACGGCACGCCCGACGTGCTGATGTTTGCGATCGTGGGCACCGGGGCGCACGCTCGCCCGCCCTCCGCCTCCGCCGCCGCACGCGGCGCCCTCTGCAGAGCGTCGGCGGCGGCGGCGGCGCGCACTAGCGTCGTCTCGACGAGTCGCGGCATCTCGGCGTTTTTCGGCGGCGCGCTGCTGAACGCTAGCAGCGCCCCCTGCCTGACGTCCGAGTCGCTTGTCTCTGAGACGTCGCTCAGCACCTCGGCGGTCTCCTTGCTCCTGATTGGCTTAGAGGCGTCCATCTTGAGACGTACGGACCCCACAGGCACTAGCGGTGGCGGTTGTGGTCGCGGCTGCGCCGGCAGAGCTGCAGCGAGCTCGGGTCCAGGTGGCAGCACCGTGCCGCCACTTTCAGTCGTTTGGTCTTCTTCTTTCGTGCTGAATCGAACGAGAACAATTGGTTGAAATGTGAGAATATCTACTGAGTGAGCTCCCAGGCGCACCTCAAAATGACGTTTGCAGTCAGTAGTACGCAGTCATGCCTGTAAAACGTGAACAAAGAGTGACTTCCCATGCAGCTTATCTATTGTGGAACAGGGTAGTAGCTACGGGGGGGCCTGGAGGGGCACGTGCTCCCCATAAATTTTCTGTGCCCCCCCAGGTGCCCCCCCCACTGAAAAGTCATGCTTGGTAGAAAAAAAATTGAATTAAAAACAATGCCGTTAGAACAGTATAATACAAAGAAAAGTGATATATTGTGTGTTAAACTCTCGTAGAGAACAGGTCTGGCCATGACGCAGTAACATAACAGTCAGTTGGTTAAGCTTAGAGAAGTAAGATCATAGAGTTGACGGACCATGATGCAGAGACACATTCAGTCAAGTGGTTAACTACTCTAGCAGACAGATGTGCACGACAGAAAAAACGTCTTATAAGTGGTACAACCACTGAACTGGCTGTGCATGGTCTCTGTCTGGCCGCAAATCACAGTTCAGTAGATAATACTCATAGAGACAGTGCTGCATCGAAGAAAACGTCTCTGTGAGTGTGTTAACGTTCTTGACTGGCTGGTGATGGTGCTCTGTCATGGCCGCATCGCAGATCAGTAGAAACTACTCTAGAGACAGTGCTGCACGAAGAAATAGTCTTGTGAGTAGTAAACCACTGACTGCTGAGATTGGTCTCTGTCATTGGCCGCCACTCCGAGTCAGTGGTAACTATCATTAGAGACAAGTTGCTGCAACGACAGAAAAGCGTCTCTATGAGTGGTTAAACCACGACTGGCTGTGTGTCCTCTGTCATGACCAGAACAATCAGTCAGTAGATAAACTACTCATAGAGGCAGTGCTGCCGACAGGAAAAGAGTCTCTATGAGTGAGTTAACCACTGGAATGGCTGCATGATGGTCTCTGTCATGACCACACCAATACAGGTCAGTGGATAACTACTCATGAGACAGTGCTGCCCCGACAGAAGGTAGTCTCTATGGTGGTAAACAGCTGACAGGCTGTGAATGGTCCATACTGTCATCGGACCGCACATGCACGTCAGTAGATAAACTACTTCATAGAGGACAGTTGCAGCACGACAGCGAAGGAGAAGTGAGGCAGTATTACCAGCTTCTTCCGGGGTGTCGGTAGAGATCGAAGCGGACAGCTGAATAGATGCAGCAGCGGGATCGAGCGCCCGCCTCAAGTGCGACGCGCGTAGCGGCTGAGGCAACATAGGGCGCGGGGAACATCGCGGCGGGCGCGATGCGGCACGCTGGGATGAGAAACGCGCCGACAGTTGCGGTAAAATGCGGTACTGCGCTGAAGCCTGTGCGAGCGCGGGCGATGATCGTGACTGAGGCGCCTGCGCGCGAGGGCGTGCGGCGACGATCGCTCGCTGATAGAGGTGTAGAGGAGCAATTCATCGTCGTGCGCAACGTGCGGCTTCCGGTCATAGGGGTCGAGTCCAAGGACCGTCTTCTGCAGAGAATTAGCAGAGAATTAATTATTATTATTATTATTATTATTATTATTATTATTATCAAAATCATTATTATTATTATTATTATTATTATTGTTATTATAATTACTATTATTATTAATAATATGATTTCCAGGAATTTTAATTTATTGGCAGCTCATAACTATAATATATTTCAGTAAGTGAAATCAGAAATCTGTTTTTCCACAAATATCATTCATAGTAGACGTACATAATCTACACAATTACAAATATATACGAATATCATCACATCTCAAGTATTTATTGTCATGATCACATGACAGTGAAAGGTTAACAAGAGTAAGTCGTCAGAGGGAGAGATCGCTGATACGTACTGCACATTTCTCCTCCTTCTCCCTCTCCCTATGCTCGCGCTCTCTTTAGCCTCTCGGCACGATCGCGAGCGAGCTTCGAGTCGGGCGTGGGCTTGAAGGTGATATCACAGCGAGAGCAGGTGTGTACTTTCCTCGGTACATTTGTGCGAATAAATCTGCCGTCACAAGATACACGCTCACGTCTAATCGTTTAGTTATTAATTAATAAAATAACTTACAGGGAAACATGAGAAATTCCACTGTTTGTATTTGAACTTTAGGGCTGAAATGTGAAATCTGTTTCGGTTTGATATATCATAACATTATAGAAATGTTTGTAAATATTCATATCATATAAACATGCTTTGGACACGATAGCATTCTCTGCAAAATTCCTCCAAATAACTTGAGTAAAGAAGTTGTCTATAGTCTCTGTTTTGTAAATCCTGGATGATATCACATAACAAAGTATACATTGCTGTCCAAACAGCTAGCAAATAGGACAGAAGTGAACAGATTTCGAAATAATGGAGCAATGTGCAACGCACCGTGTAACACATTAGCATATACCACGATAATAAAATCATCTTGACACACCGCACACCCGCACACGCCAGCAAGCACACGGTGCACGCGACTACACATATGTATAAGTGTAAGTGTAGTACTATATATGCAAACTGAGCATTTTAATGCTCAAAAGTATTCAGTAGTCATCAAAAGTAATCAAAAGTCTCTCAGTATCTCACAAGCATAATACCGAGTTAAAGGTGGCATCATCGGAGAGTGAGAAGGTTTCAATTTTGCGTGGCAAGTCGTTCAACTTAAGATTTACTCACCAGGTATCATGTGTAAGCCATGTGGAGGCCCTGGTGGTATGCCTGATCCCGGCTGGCTTAACGGGTCGTGCACATGTAGGTGCGTGTGGGAATGCGCATGCATGTGCGCGTGCATGGCAGCAGTGGCGCTTCCTGGTGGGTACATGCTGAATCTCGTCATCGGATCGGCCGCCATCATGCGCTCTATGTGAAGTCGCTCTGCCGACATGTGATTAGGGCCGAGAGCTCCCCCTGGTGGCGGAATGCCGAGTCTGTCCATCCGCTCTCGTTCCCGCTCCATCTGTTCCCGTTCTAGTAAACCTATAGAAGAAAGGAATAGTGTTATATGGCTGGCTAGTATCAAGAAGCTAAATATAACAAGGAGAGGAAGCGGATTGGCTGTGTGCTTTTCGCCTCAAGGGCGCCATCTATGGACCATAATCAGCTGAAACGGCTGTGCAGGCCGAACCCAGAGACAATAGAACACTAATCTGTTCTAGGGTCTCTGCCGAACCCAAATTTGGGCCAGATATGGCGGCCCTTCCTCTCCTTGTTATATTTAGCTCCTTGGCTAGTAGGAGGTTCACAGTAACAGATGTAGCACAATGCCAAAGCTATTACATGATTCCTTGACAGCCATGATGATGATGATGATGATGATGATGATGATGATGGTCATGATGATGATGATGATGATGATGGTGATAATGATGGTGATGATGACGATGATGATGATGATGATGAGCCATGTCGGCCATTCCCCCTTTATCATGTTTATTGCACGTACGCACAGTTATTAACCCTAAATTCCTTAGACATGGAACGTTCTCACAATAATAGCACAACTGCACGTGGAAATTTCACTGGGAATTTCATTCTGGGAATCAGTTGTTCCTAATCTCATTTCAATCCAATTGTCATTTCGTCATTCCATCACTTCTATTTATTTAGTTTCATTTGTTTTAATTTTGTTAACATTGTCTATTAACTTGCTTAACTAATATGTTACTCCAAAATGTAATTTACAAGTGTAAATAAAGTAAATTGAATTGAATTGAATTGAATTGAATCTGTTGAGGGTCAAGACGCCAACAAGGCGACAGCGTGAATTCCAACTGCAATCGGTTTTGCGTTCTTACCTGAAGGGATCATGCCGGGGATGGTGGCTGGACCGGGCCCACCCTGCATGTACTGCCGCTGAAGCTCCGCCCACCGCGACGGATCCATGGAGGGCATGCTGGGGTGACCTGTCAGGGGTTTGCCGTCGGCTCCGATTCCAAGCTTCATGCGTTCACGGAACTCCCTCTCTCGCCTCTCCTGCTCCAGCTTTGCCTCAATCTCTAGTCTGTGCGAACAGCAAACAGTGTTAAATGACGTTATCAGATGTTATCGTGTTATCAAAACAGGAAGACAGCGCTCTGTCGCCGAATCGGCAAGTAATCGCATCAAAATGCTTGAAAAGCACGTCGATAAAACACTTCGAAACACCATCGCTGGCAATAAATTGATCCCACGTGGCCATTTTGGCTCTGATAGCTTTTTGGTACTTCGTACGACATGTACGAGGGGGAGTTTCTGCAGAGACGGCCAGACCACTGTCAGAATAGAGAGCCACGCCAATCAGTCAGTGGTTAACTACTCATAGAGACAGTCTGGCCATGACAGAGCAACATAACAGTCAGTGGTTAAGCACTCATAGAGACAGAAGATCATAGTGACAGGGACCATGGTGCCAGAGACACATCACAGTCAGTGGATAACTACTCATAGAGACAGTATATCATAGTGACAGGGACCATGGTGCCAGAGACACATCACAGTCAGTGGATAACTACTCATAGAGACAGTGCTGCCTAGTGACAGGGACCATGGTGCCAGAGACACATCACAGTCAGTGGATAACTACTCATAGAGACAGTGCTGCCTAGTGACAGGGACCATGGTGCCAGAGACACATCACAGTCAGTGGATAACTACTCATAGAGACAGTGCTGCC